GCCCGGAGAAGGTGAGTACGGAACCACAGATGGCACCGCTGGAGATCAGGATGGCTGAACGGATGAGAGGAGCTGCAGCTAAGCACATCCGTTCAGTCTCACATCCCGGCCACTCCCCCTTGCTCTAAAATATTGTTGAACAGGCTTATACAGTATATGTCCAATCAAATATTCGTTAATACTCAGATACTACTTTCAAGACCCAAAAGGCAACTTGTAGATTTTACATAAAACAAGGAATCTCACTCATGTACGATATATATAGCTATGCCGTTTAGCAGTGGATGGCCATTTTAAGCAAAAATACTTTCTTCTAAAACACAATATGAGTCATGTTCTATTCTACAATTCATGAATCATACATGGGTGAGATTTCTAGTTTTTATGCAAAGCAATGACTTAGAAACAAGTCATAGAGCCAGGACCATGTATCTGAAGGCTCAGAAACTGCAAAGCCCTGAATTACATTTTTCCAATTATGGGACCATGCCATCATAAAGTATAAGAGCCAGTTCACACAATAGTGTTGAACTAAATGAGAGGGTTCCATGCCTTCAGCGCACACTCTTGCACAGTACTGCATGCTAGATGTGCTGGTGCATTGAGTTGCTTTTCATTCTTAAGGGCACTTCAACACACCTCCGGGCAGGCATGCATTTCATCACATCTCGCGATACAGCAATAACATGTGTTGTGTTGCTGCGTGTTAAAAAAGTAATGCATGCACTACTTTTTATAACTGCACTGCAACACATGACACCACTAGCCAGGAGGTGATCTGGGGTGCAATTGAGAATGAATGGCAATACAACAAACCAGCGTACCTACCATATTGTAGGGAAATGCATTGACCCTGCACATATAGCACAATGCTATTGTCACGATCTGGGATCAGGCTCAGAGTCCAGTAGCTGAAACAGAAGGCAAATTTGTGGTCTAACAGGCCGGGTTTGGTACACAAGCAGACAGTAGTAGTATAGGAGAAGGCAGAAGCATAGTCAGCGAACAAGCCGAGGTCAGTAGCCAAAGGTATCAGGTATGAAGCAGAACTTGATGAGCGTAGTCGGTGAATCAGCAGCCAAAGGTCGGTACACAGGTAGCAGTATGAGCAGATTGTATCACAGAGGGAGCAGGAAGCAAGATATTGGCAGGAGCACAATAATCTGGCAAACAGGAAGTGCAGAGGCATGGTTTAAATAGGAAGTTCAAAGGAGGAGCAAGGAGTTCAGAATTCAGCAGAAACAAGGTTTAACTGAGGATTACACAGGAGATCAGGCAAGGAGCTATCCAAGGTTCTAAGGTGCCATCTACAACATAGGCCCTGGGTTCAGATCCGGTTCCTGACAGCTATGGTGTGAAAAGCTGAAAACTCCAGCCAGAAATATAAATGTATATTTGTAATTTAGATCTCATACCTTCATTATTCTGTACTCTCTTTTTTTAATTATTGCAGCAGTCTTTGGATATTTTCTTTCTCATCTTTTCCTTTCCAGGTATTACTCATCCTGCTTTCCTGTTCATAAGTCCAGCAGCTGCTATGCCCTCTCCTCCCCAGTGGCCACCAGTTGTGTCAATGTCCCTCTGTAGTTTTCTTCTATGAGCAGGACATAATTAGGTTTTGGCTTGATGCAGTGGAAGGACCCGAGCTGATCAGACTCCCAACCTATCGCGCTCATCAATGGCTGCAATAGCTGATTGACAGCAATGTGGGACAGCAATTGGGACAGCAATCATTGGAGCAAGCCTAAGACAATTCCCGCAATTCCATCCACTGGTGTTTATAATGTCTTAATGCAACATGGGATTTTAGGTTTGGCCGCCTCCCTGATCCCTCTTCCTATACAATGAAAACAGCAGGTTATCCATGGACGAATAATATATATTCTTTGTTCAACCCTCAGGTTGAAAAAAGAAAATATAACAGCGTATATTTAGCCAGCTATAGTCTTCAAAGCTGTGATAAGATAAACCATACAACTAAGAGGGTCACACTAGCCTGTCTGCTAAAACACCTGCCTGTGCCATGTTGGGGAGGTTTCCTTTTATCCCCGAGAAATCTCTACTAAGTTTGAAGGATTCATCCACTTAGGCTGTTGACACCTGAAACAGGATTCCGCATTGGAAGATGTAGGCTCATCTCTTTTTCTGGCGACATCTCTAAACCTATTACATTCTGTCTCAGTGACAATGGTCAACAGGACAAACAAAGGGTGAATCTCCATAGCAATTACACAAACAACAATAAAACTAGACATGGGTTCTTATCCTTCCCTACTCTATACTAGACATGTGCACTGGCAAAAAATGTGTTTAGTTTTTTTTCGTCATGATTTGGATTTTGTGTTATTTCGTTTTTTGGGATTCGGGTGTGAAAGTCAATTCGGAATTCGGACGAAATTCGTTAGCGAGAGTTCGTTCAAACGTTCGTTTCGTTTTCGCTTCTTACTTGTTTCATTTGTTCGTTGCAGCAAAGTGACATTTGAGGGGGAAAATTTTTTTTTCTCTGTCACTTTGCTGCAACGAACGAACCGAATAAGAAACTAAAACGAAAAAACGAATGTTCGAACGAACTACCACTAACAAATTTCAGAAACGGAAATTCGGATTCGTTTGCATTTGTTATATCTGGAATTCGGATACATCCGAATGTCCGAATTTTGTTTCGGAATGAAACTAATCGCACATGTCTACTCTATACATTATTAAAACTTTTTTTTTAAAGTTGGTGCTTTACATGCACTTTAACCTCAGTATAGAACAACTAAATATTATTATATATCTCAACTGTATATATATATATATTTATATATATATATTGTGCCAATGCTCTGTTGTACTCCCCAACACAGCAGCTTTTGACCAATGCCACTGAGGTTTTAATTCATCCATATGTATATTATAACCATTATAGATATAAAAAGGACATTTTTCAAAGCACAAAAATGTCCATATTGTGCTATATGCAGTCTGGGAATGAGAGAGAACATTTGCTGCCTGATTCCACCAGTGCCCTGGATTCCCATCTACCATGTTACCATGGCAACAGCAGTTCCATACTACTAGGACCAGAACATTGCATTGTTATTAAAGAAATTAATTGCTTTTTGAGTAATGTTTTACTTGTGTGAAATAGTGTTCTCAACGTGGTCCCAGGTTCACGACTAATTAAAAGGTACTACAGTTAGTGAAACCATTTTGCTTGATTGCCTTGACCCAGAATCAGGGGGCTAGTAATGCTTAGCAAATCAGAAACTCAAAGAGTACAGAACATATTGCATTTTAGTATTTGGAGCTTGCAAAGGGCTTGTCTCCCAAAAGAGATTGTCTCCCAACCTCCATGTAACAGTGATGGGTGCCTGAGCAACCAAACATGAAACGCCAGACCTCTCACATGGTAGCTAGAGAATTAAGTAAGTCACAAGCTCCACATATCTGAAAATACCAAATATTTCACTTTGCTAAATGAGGCCAAACAGAGTAAAAGGAAATAAAGTAAGGGCACACCTTCCCTTGTGCACAGTTGTTTTGAGCCACCTTTGAAGTGTTGTGAACTGTTGATATTAACTCTCTAATTTCATATTGCTGATATTAATAGCATACCCATTATTATTATTATTATTATTATTATTATTATTATTATTATTATTATGTGATAGTTAAAGTCCTAGAAGTTGCACAGCACTATACAGACCTACAGTATACATTCAACAAATTAATTTTAGATGATCCCTAAGGGCCTGTTCACACGACGTCCGTATTCTGTGCTGACCTGATCCGTACGCTCCTGCACGAAATATGCATCCCAATGTATCCCTATGTGTTTTATGGGCTACAGTTCTCACGTGCGCATTCCGTTCCGTTCCTGACTGAAAAAATACTGCATGTCATATTTTGTCCGGTCAGGAAACGCACGAACGCTCCAAAAATACAACAAAAACAAAACGCAATGCAGCTAAGCAAAAAAAAAGTTTTATTCTTGCTCCACTTTTTATGATGTCATCATCGTTGGACTTCCTGGTTGTGGTGGAGCATCAGAGGGAAAACCAGTAGTCATGACTAACATGGTCCTGGACATTGAGCGATTCATCGGATTGATGGAGCATGCGCCAATGCTCCACGAACCCGGCCACACACAGTTTAAAAATGTGCATCATAAAAATAAAAAGTGGATAGAAATAGCATCAGAGCTGTATGATGAATACTCAGTGTACAGTAGTGCCCAGAAGAAAGAATGTGGTGAGTGATTACACATATCTTGTATGTTGACTAACTGTATGCTGGCCATGTTATCCACATGTTATAACAGCCCCACGTCTTCATAAAAAAAAAAGAACTGTCAGCATCCGGACCGAAAACGCGTCAAATACGCAAGGCATGAGTAGCGCCGCGTCTGCAGATCTGCGCCTGATCCGGACCTGATCAGGACCTGAAAATCATGTGAACAGGCCCTAAAAGCATATAAGACTTGGCATGTGAGCACATGTCAATTGATGTGATTGGGCTGAGATAGAATTCGTATAGAAGGGTCTCGATCAACTTAGGAGACATACTCTCTCCAGTATTGTCATTTATGGCTAGTTGCAGTGAGGTAGGCCTTGGCAGCCAGTCATATTGTAGCCTATATGGATCTATTGTAAAATTTCCATTAAAAAGGGGCCTGCGAGCCTCTGTTTTTTGAACTGCTTGATGCTTGTTCCCAGCTGTAGTTGTTATTATTAAACCTGGTAAGTGATTCTTCTGTCTGTTCCGATACCTTGCTATTCTACTTCAGAAGTAAACCTGTTGCTATGCCTGCCATGGGCAAAGTACACACTTGCTTTAAAAGCATATGTTTATAAAGCATAATTTTTTTTTAAATGTAGATAGTAATTGCTTTATAGGAATGAATAGCAGCTGAATGTATTGTTTGGACCACTGCTACTTATATTTTATCTTTGAGTGTGAGGAGGGGAAGTTTGTGTACATTGCTATGTATTATTTCTTTATGCTTTGTTCTTCAGGGTCGAGATCTGGATTGTAAGGTACAAGAATACAAGAAAAATGGTGACATGATTCCTGAAAGTCAAGTGACAGAATGGTTCATCCAGCTGCTGCTTGCTGTAAATTACATGCATGAAAGGTATTGTTATTTTTCATTAATATAAACTTTTTTACAACCAACATACATCAGAGCAATTATTCTGTCCATATGTGCTACAAATATAGAAGCAATGTCACAACTGGCCACTGCTCTGTGTGATCATTCACAATGAGAATATCTATCACTAAAGAAACCCTGTAATCTTTAGAAAAAAATAAAGAAAAAGCTGTATGGAAAACAAGTCTTTTAATACTTATCTGTGCTACTGCCTATTCCGCCATTCTCTTCTGCATTGAAAAATGCCTGAAGAATTTTCAGCACTTCCAGGTCAACACAGGGCCATGCCTTCCATTAAGGGCCAGTTGAGGTGGCACCTATGGGGGCACTGTGGGGAGCAGCACAGAGGCTAAAGTGTCCATAGGACACTGTGTCTGCTGAGACTGGAGTTTCCATGGAATACTCCATCCTTAGTGCAGTCAGTAACATTGAGCCTTGTATAATCACAGACTTAGCATCACTGAGTTCCCAGCCTGGCCGCTGTGCCTGTCACACAGGCAAGTGCAGTAGCCAACACTCAGCCTCACTGAGTAGAGCTTCTGGCTGCTGTGCTTACCTATGTGACAGGTGCAGCGGTCTGAAGCTCTGCTCATTGACACTGCATTTTTATCAGGTTCAGTGATAAAGGCATCCATTTTTGCTGTGAGGGAGGAGGTGGCAAAATCATATGTCTCTGTCGGCAATTAAGCTAGGCATGCTCCATAGTCATCAGGTACAGATACAGTATAACAAAGTGCTTTTAATTGTATATTTAATAGACCAAATGGAATCAAATAAGAGAAGTTAATTGTTAGCGTTTACATACCTTTTGCATGTAAAAAAAAATATGTGAACGGATCCTTTTGTTTAGAAAATTATGGTAAAGTACAAAAAAGAACAAGTTAAAATATCTCATATGGCCCATTGAACTGTCACTATATAATAACCTCTACATAATCTCTACACAATGTATTCAGTCTGATATTCTATACCATATTATTGTAATCTCTCTGCTCACCGAGTGCATGATAACGGTGAAAGAACGTGACCTATCATTATACACAGACAACTGTAGATTGAAACCTGGCTTTTACGGTGTGCTTGCATTCATAGACTTGTTACTGTCTCTGAAAGGCAGCAGCTGCTGATCAGCCAAACCAGTGTTGTCAACCTCATTGTCACTGATGCTTCTGCTTTGTATCTATAAACATGTTATTCAAGGCCTGCACTGTGCAGAGAATTGGACCTTGGGTGGAAAGAGCTTGGGTGGAAAAAATATCAGAATGTTCATAAATAGGCCTAGAAGACAAGTATGGATTACATAGTAACATAGTTGTTCAGATTCATTACATGTCCATCGAGTTCAACCAAATCACAAAAATAAATAATTTAAAAACGTCAGAACCCTAATCCCATAATTGGTCCAGAGGAACGCTAACAACTCTTATAAGCCTAGCTCAGTTTGCTGCAATAGGTGAGAAAATTCCTTCTTGATTCCCTCAGCAATCAGATAATCCCTGGATCAGCAGTCTATTGTGTTATTAACTTTAAATATTAATACCCAATTGTTAAAAACAAATCCAGCATATTTTGAAACACTCTAGTCTATAGAGTAGGATCCTGTGACTTAATAATGTCTTTTGGTAAAAACAGTCATGGTAGATGACTTGGCTCTTTTCCCTCTACTTTCATATACTATCATCGCTCCTTCCTTACCATCACTTAACTTCCCATTGCAATAGAGCACCAGGTTATTTGGGGACTATACCTTTATCAGTAGAGATACAGTATAATTCCTTCTGTCCTGACCCTGGTTGTACCTTTGGTGTTTTGCCATGTTTCTGCATACAATGCAAACACTCTGGTACCATCTTTAAAGTTCTGAAACATATTTAATTTGTAATTATGTTATAGCTAATAATTATGTTTTTAACCCTCCTTAAATATTTTTTTGTCATTCTTTTTGAAAGACCAAGGTAGTATTTCAGAAAAAGAGAATTTACAAACAGAAAAAGACAATACAATCAAAAGATTACTTTAAAGTGATTCTTTAAAGTAATGAGTAACAATATGTTAGTGGACTAAGGAGCTGAAAATACATGGTCCCTAAGGATTTTGTTTTTTAAGTGAAACTCAAGTTTTGTTTCAGAAAAAACCATCCTTTAACAATGCCCACACTGTAATCACATGACCATTCTTGGGGTTATAATAAGAAAAGCTGCAGCCTTGGCATCCCTTTACATGTGCAGGGTTGATTGAGAATATCCCAAATTAAGACACTTCAGTGAAACTTTGCCTGTGCCTATAAGGTAGACTTCGTGGAAAAACATGATGGGGTGGTGGAACTGGAATATTTTGTCAGTTTTCAGAAAATAATAGGTATTTGCAAATTTAAATGGTGAGGTACATTTAGCTTCTTCAAGACCTTGGACTTGGACCAAGAAAACTTCATCTAAATACCATGTGCAAACATCATATGCCCCGTGCTTCCTCCCTTGCTGTGACCCACCAGTCAAAATCCACAGGACAAGCTTTTGGTTTAACGGCTAGTGTTTGGTCTGTTTCTCCAGAACACAGACAGCAGCTCTTGTGTGAATAATGCCTGCAGAGAGTATTTGTAGGTGTCAGTATTTATATAAGGTAACACAATAATTACAATGTATTTTAATTAGTACCTTTACATGTAGATTAAAATGGTGTGTTTTAATCTGCCAATTATATCAGTTACAGAAATCTCAAGTGAAAATGTTTATGAGTTTCAGAGCATGGATCATTCATCATTTAAGCCCTTACTGGGCTATTTTATTCTATCATGTCCTCCAGGCAATATTAAAAAAAAAAAAACAACTGCGGCTTTTCACCGTACTGCAGTACTTACCTTTAATCTGGAACTTTTCCCCATGGTACTTCTTCTGTCCTCAGTCTTCCTGGGCAAAATGACCCAGGGCATCACTCAATCAGGAAGACTTCAGGAAAGATTGTGAATGCAGGAGGTCATGGCCCCACACCCTGAGCAGAGATTCATGCACTCACAATGTATTGATGCAGAGAGCAGTGCTGATGCCAGCATGTCAGAGCTGCTCTCTGCATCCTTCAGGGCTACCCATTGTCAGCAGAGCTCAGAGGAGGAAGAGGATCCCGCGAGTCACGCGACCAGAATGGAGACATCCACATAGGGTAAGTAAGAAAAAAAGCATGAAATACTGCCAGTAGATGCTTCTTTTTTTTGAGGATGGGAACAGAGTAGGAGTGACAGCGAGCTGCACGAGTGCCAAGGATGTAGCAGACACTTGTGCCAGGTAGAAAGTCCAGAATCTGGAACAGAGGCATGTCAAGCAGAGCCGAGGTCAAGCCTGGCGGGCAGCAGGGTGTTTGAAGCAGAAGACAGGAGCGAGATCCAAACAGAAGCCAAGGGTCAAATGCAGCCGAGCAGCGAAGTACAAAACAGAAGGCAGAAGGAAGTCCAATGAACAGGCCAAGGTGAGGAGGCAGGCAGCAATCAAGAATGGTCAGAGACAATCTGGGTCAAACACAGTTAGCAAGGCAGGAGCAAGGAACACAGAGAACTAGCTGAAGATCATCCAGCAACTAAGGATATGGCAGGCTGGTTAATATAGGCCAATCCATTAGCAGCATATGTGTAATTTCCTGTGTGTCTTACGTGCACACGTTTTCGTGCGGAAGTTCGCTGTGCGCGCACGCGTACTAGCGCCCGTTTTCCAGTTACTCGGAAACCGGGGCCATGCGCATGCACAGAGATGCTTGGTGCCTTACAGGGGGGTTGCACAAGTAGCCTGGAGTTGAGCTCTAAATGTTGTACCTGATGAGAAGTATATAGGAAATAAACAGTAGTTCCTTAGTACTCTTCTTACAGACATTGCTGTAGTGCTCACCCTTGCATTCCCTTTTGTCAGTAACCTGATGATCTTGGAACACATCTGATTGTAATGCTGGTACACCCTCTTGTCACCCAAAGTGCATTGCATTATGGCAACCTAATAATTTTAAATGCAGCCCAATCTCAGTGCAGTTTTGGGAGTGCAGTGCATGGTAGTATGTTATTGCTTTAGTGCATTGGGGTGCCATTCAACACAATAATGTGTGGATTGTTCATGTACCAAAGGTAGCCATCCTTAAAGATAAATTGCTGGTTTTAGCACAGATGCAGTAAGCTGGATTGCTCTTTAAGAGATCAGTTGATTGAAGGAAAGGTCTAACGTTATGAATGGTAAAGTCTTGAGTTAAAGAATTTAGATAACTTATTGCAGAGATATATGAAACCATTTAGTTCATTGCATTTGCTAAAAAATGGGAAACCATTCTAGCAAAATGTAACAATGTAAAAAGTTTACACTAACAAAAAGTTGTGTTGTTGCCTATTATATTTGACATTGGGTAGACATTTGTTTGGGATTAGTTTTACTCTTGAGATTTAGAAGGACTAGTTTGTATAATTTTCCATCACATTTATCCTCTCATGTATGGTTAAATATATATGGATTATACTACTCAGTTCCGCCACTCAACTATATCATGCAATGGGAACTCGCTGGATTATTGATGCTTTAATTAACAGTGTCTTAAGATTTTTTTAGTTATTACAAACAAATGGCTGTTATTTATCCTTTTTCTTCTTCTGTATGTTGGTTGTCAGTTTAATTACATATATTTCCATCCTATTCATTTTGTTTCCATCTTTTTTATTATGATGATCTCCTTGGCCTAATTATAGCTTGACAGATTTCCTGGCATTAGATCATGTGTACTTTCAGTGTAGACAAATAGAGTGAGTAGAGCAGATTTGTGATTCGTGTGTTTATTTTTATTTGATCCTTTTATTTGTCTTTCTAGGAGAATACTTCACAGAGATTTAAAAGCAAAGAACATTTTTTTGAAGAACAATCTGCTTAAAATTGGTAAGACTTAGTGACCCTTATAAATGATGTGGAAATTATTTGATTATTTATGTGTTTACATAATTAATGTGTGTTGTTCTGGGTCATGTTTCAGTTTCATAAATCATAGTTAGATTTGTTGCTGCTGTGTTTGGCTCTTTTGTTACTGTTTTCCTGATTACCTTACTGTTGCTTAAAGGAAATGCATAAGGTTTTATATATTTTCTTTATATGAGAAAATATACTTATTATTTGTAATACATTTACTATTATGATCCATTTGATTATGATTTTGTTATCATTAATCTGGAAAATATGAAAAAAATGAAGTATGTATATCAGACATGTGCAGCCACAAAAAAAATTGTTTCGTTTAGTTTCGGATTTTATTTATTTCGAAATCGGATCCTGTATGTTTCGGATTCGGATCGGATTCGTAATTCGGACGTATTTCCGAAATTTGGGGTTTTGCACGAACGGACGAATGTTCGTACGCACGTACGTAGCAGAATTGGCAAAGTTTACATTTCTGTATGCTGTGCTCTAGTCTTCACTATTAAAAGGACATTAAAATCCTTTTCTTCATTTTTTTTTATCCGTGTAAACGTTGACGGTGCATGCACAGGAACATGAAGTAATGTTTTGTTTTTATCTTCACATGCTATGAAATCCTCTTTTTGTAGTCATTATCGTAAATTTATAATTCCGTTTCCATTAGGACGAAATTCGTACTGAACCCGAAAGTCCGAATCCGCACATATCTAATGTATATATCAAATTTTACCTACCAAGCCAGCAAGTGGCAAACTCTAAGCTACTGTGCTAGCTTTATCCACATTTTAAAAAACATTTTCATGCTGTAAAATAGCAGGAAAGATCAGATTACACTGTTGAATGACTAACACGACTCCTCACTGTTTTTATCTGTTTAGTCAGTAATGCAGAGGCTGCCAGAAAGTATGCACAAAGTAGGAAACCCTGTTATTATTGACCAATTGACTATTGGTAAAATAAATGTTTTGTTTCAATAATTAGAAAAATATCAGTTATAATCAGTATAAAAAAATCAGAAAAATAATTAAAATAAAATTGACCAAAAACATTACACTTTCCATTTTAATTTCTGAGCTGCCAAAAACGTATTATGGATGTCATGGCTGTACCTAGTATGTAATACATCATGGCAATTAAAAGGTTAAAACAAGCGCACAGTTGCAGTAGCAGCTGCAAATTTGTTTTCATTTTAATTTGTGGTGTGGCCCTAAAATCTTGTGTGATTTAAATGATTAGAATGCACGTGTTCCCCTGCCTGGGCAGAACTTCCCATGATGTTGCCAACCTTATTATTTTGAAAAGCAAGCGGAAAGATTAGATAACTATGACTATTATGCCCTACAATCTCCTCTAGCGTTACATGGATTTGGATGCTCAGGTTCAATTTTAGTGTGCTGCTGGGAAGAAAGAGATCTGTAGCACACACGCAGTAGACATCGGTCATCTGCAGTATCACATGCAGGGTTTGTCAATTTACTAGTGACATTAAGCTAAAAACAAAAAGGGACACAAAGAAAAAATAAGTGAAATGTAAAAAAAATAGAAGAGCAAACACAAAAAAAATGTAAACACTTTTTCACACAAGCATAACACATATGTATACAAATAACCTTCTCATACAATATGCACAATTAAGACACAAAGATATCCTGTACAAAAGACCCCTGATTCACTATGAAGCTAAAGGATACAGCCGTAGCTTCGGCTGATCCTTCAGGACTCTTCGGCCATCGGTTCAGTTGAACCGAAGGGCTGCTGTACAGGCTATTCACAATAGCCTGTACAGCAGCCGAAGGCAGCTGAGCGGCTCAGCCGAGCCAAAGGCATATGCTTCTGCTCGACTGAGCCGAAGTGACAGCCGAAGCATGGAGAAAGGTCGGCCGAAGCCGACCGATCTCAATGCAAATGACAGCTGGGCGGAGCCAGCCGCAATCTCATGGCTGGCTCCTCCCAGTTATAATGACAGATCAGCATCCCCAAATGAGCTGGGGACGCTGGTATGTCATTAAACAACTGGGTGGAGCCAGCCGTGACGTCACAGCTGGTTCCGCCCAGTTGTTATTCATTGGCTGGGATTTGCTAGAAGTCTCTGGCTGGTGCCGGCCAATAGGAAACAGTTGGGTGTAGCTAGCTGTCACTGCTAGCTCCGCCCAATTGCTTTTCTTTTGCCGGAATCTTCGCTGGCGTTTTTTAAAATAATTTTTAATTTTCAATTTTTTTATGTTCTATAAACTATTTAAACATTTTTTTATTTTCCTACATTTAAAAAAAATTCAACTTTTTTTTCTTTATTAAGTTTACTTATTTTGTATTCTGCTCGGTACCTCGGAGGTACCGAGCAGAATAGCAGAGCGGCATTCAGCTATTCACTTATTGCCGTTTGGCCCCTATGAGAATAGGGGAGAACGACAGCTAGTGAGCTGCTGGAGCTCCGGCTCAGCCGATCCAGAGGTTGGATCAGCTGAGTCGAACTCCTTCTGCATGACCTTCCAGAACATGTTGGGCTGACCAAGCCAGAAGTGAATAGCTGAACAGCATTCAGCTCACTTCACTTCGGCTGGTTTATTCACTCGGCTGCCTTCGGCAGCTTTGTAAATAACCCTCTAGGTTTCCGTGCGTCTTGGTGAAGAATAAGAATACATTTAGGGTCACTGTTTAAGTATAACACAAGGGTCTAGCTATAAACAATGTGCAGAGCCATTTGCCAGCAAATCTCTATAAACATTCAATTTGTGAAAATGAAAAGAAAAAAATTATGTTTTTAGTAGATTTTCTTGTCAGGTCCAATGTAATAATCAGAAAATAACACATTAGGGCCACTGGATAGAGCTGAGGAGCATAGGAAAAAAATACTGATTTCCCATGCTCTTCAGCTTCCTTTAGTGGCCATTATGTGGTATTTTTGAATATTACATTCTAACTGAAAATAAAATTTACTAAAATGCATAGTACAAATGTTCACAGAGATTTGCCGGGCAAACGGCTCTGCAGATTATTTATAAATAGACCAAAGTGACCTGTCACTATATGTTTTTTAGTACAACTGATTTAAAATTGTCATTGTTTTACAAATCTTAAACTTGTATCTTTTTCTTGTTTCTATTTCCAAATATTATCTTGATACAGTTTTTTCTTACCTTGGCAGAATTGTATGAGATGATGCTGTGTGTGTATGTGCTAACAGTGAATTTAACATACTTTTTATTGAAAATAACATTTTGGTGAGGAATTGCACAACTGTAATGACACATACCAAATTATTGGGCCATCTTTTAATTCTGTGCCCTGAAAATATATGGTTTGAAGTATTTTTCTCAAACTTTTAAGTCTGTAACGTTCTTGAAAAATGGCTGGCCATCTGCAGTGCATTCGATCATGTGTACTTTCAAGGCCTTTGATTAAAATGGGCTTGTGCTAGGCAAACACATATTATTCTCTGATAATAAACTGGTTCCACTTTCCTAAAGCCAGCCAAGGCCATAATTAAAGGGAGACTGAAGAGACTTTTGGATATTGGAGCCAGGCTAAAGCTCACGCAAGATTGATCTGTTTTCTAGTACAGAGAATAACTTTGACTGTACAGCTGCCTTCTGCTTGTGTTCTGGAAGAAAAGCAAAGATTGGGGTTTGTTTCAAATAAAACACACAATAAAACTATTAGTCGATTTTCCAATACACTTGCATTAGCATGCAAAGACAGAATGCTGAATATTTATTGGAAGAAATAATGTCGTCCATTTTAAATATACATACTGTGATTTGGTAGGGTTTTTACACAGTGTAAACATACCATAGCAAGTCGGATCAGAATTGTAATCATTATTAAAATAGTGGTGAAATGTACAAACTATTATACTTTTGTGATGCACTAAGTGACCATTTACACCTCTTCTTTTAGGTGAATTGTAACACCTTAAAGTACATGCGGTTCTGTATCATTATTTTGAATAGTCCTGTTCTCATCTATGTATTTTAGTGCTCTTTTTACCTGAAAAAAAACCCTTTCTTGTTGTGCATGAAATTGCACTAAATATCATTAGTTATACCCACCCACTGAGAAAAGGCATACAGTGGCTTAGTGTTTAGCATGTCTGCCTTGCAGCTCGAGAAATCCCGGCCAGGACAATATCTGCATAGAGTTTACATGTTCTCCCTTTACTTGTGTGGATTTCCTCCGGGTACTCCGGTTTCCTCCCACATTTCAAAGATGTGCTGGAAGGCTAACTGGCTCCTGTCTTAAAGGGCCTAGTATGAATGTGCATATAAGATAAGGATCTTAGATTGTAAGCTCCTTGAGGGCAGGGACTGATGTGAATGTGCAATATGTTAAGCACTGTGAAAATTGTTAGCACTATATAACCACCTGTAATAATAATAATAATTAGGGATGCACCGATACCGGTTTTAAGGTATCGAGTACAAGTACCAATATTTTTTTTCGATACTCGCTGATACTGAATACCGATACTGCAAGTCCCATTAAGGAAGCCAGGCGGCGTGTAAAGATTCACCACCCGGCTTCTCGATTAGCATGGAAGCCATCTCCATGCTCCTTCGTCACAAAGTGACGAGGTAGTATGGAGCCCGCTTTCTGGCCAATCAGGAAGCCGGGTGCTGTGTAATGACTCATTACACTGCGCCTGGCTTCCTGATTGACCAGATGGCGATGAAGCATGAAGCCGGCTTAACGAGTCATTACACTGTGTAATAACTAGTCATTACACTGCGCCCGGATTCCTGATTGACCAGATGGCGAGGAAGCATGAAGCCGGCTTTCTGGCCAATCAGGAAGCCAGGGGGTGGATAATGACTCACGTCCAGCTTCCTGATTGGCAAGCTTCCCAACCAATCGGGAAGCTAGGCGGCGAGTCATTACATGTCGCCCGGCTTCCGGAAGCTCAGGTATCAGATGTAAGCATGGGAGCATTTGGGCGAGTATGAGTACTCGCCCAAATACTCGTCATCGCC